TATATATATATATATATATATGAGTGCTATGCTTCAACTACGCTATTACTTGAGATTTACCTCTGACTACCATAAGCTATAACAATGTGCCATTCTACAGAAGTGCGCTAAAACTGACCGGTTACACAATCTGAGGATTTCACTAGGTAATAAAAAATACATGATAAACTAGAAAACATCGCAACCGATAGTAGTTTTTTTTATTACATAAGAGTGTGCAGTAACAAAATGAGGCAATTAAGAGACGGTAATAACATAATACACGAGCAGATCCCATCCACATTCATTATCGTTTCATAATACGCGTGACAACTACGTTACTAGCTGGTTAAGCAAGAGAGGAAGAAAAAGAGAGAGAAAAAAAAAAGAATTAGAGACAGAGAGAGAGGGGGGAAGGATGGGTAGTGGAGGACCCCAGGAAATAGAAGTCGGAAAATGGGTTATATCCTAATCAATTCCACCACTCAATATGTGACAAGCTATTCCGAGAGATGGAATGAAATCATTTTTAAAAGCACCTTAATCTGACGCATTTACTTATAGTGCATGATTCTAAACTGGTGAGTTTCTGAAAGTCCATGAACCGGTGCCAAAAACTGATATTTTCCTCGAGTTCTTTCCTATTACAATGAAAATTTTCTTTCTAAGAGAATTCAGCTCTACGTCAATTATGTCACCAAGGTATTATTTCATTCCAAACAAGAGCAGGATAATATGGGATACTATCGTATATGACCAAGTAACAAACAATTGCCATGACTCACAAAATCGTAATAACACGATTGTCATTATCGTTATGTCATAATTATTTTACTTATGAATCTCATACCGAACATGACAGCCGCAACACAACGTTTATTCTCCCGTGTAAGTCAAGCAGAATAGGAATAGTCGTACCTGCTGATGTGCCCCATTATGTTGCAAAAAAAATGCAGTAGGGGTGAACGAGGCTAGATCCCACTCTACCTAGTGACCTTTCAAGCAGACACCAGTTGTTGCAGTCAGGTCGACCTCATTCAGGCTTTATCATTGCCACATTCACCAGTGTAATGTCCTCTCACTCCTCGCTTCCCACAAGTCAATGCATTCGTTATATCCAGCACACTACTTGACCAATGTGACCAATGCAGCTTATTAATATTCATTATGCCAACGATGTCAAAAAAATCGCTTTTGAACTACATGGAAAATTACCTGAAGGTTATTTTCAGGGATCAAGGTCCCAGAGACTCAGTCTCAAACTAGGCCTGCTGGTGGACCAAAGTCTGATCAAACAGGCTGTTACTGCTGGCCGCACGCAGTCCAACATACGAATCACAGCCTGGCTGATCAGGAACTGACTTGAACTTATCAAGTTCCCTCCCTGTTGGTACGATAAAGGACCTTTAAAATTTTCCCCAAAAAATGAACGGCAATGTCTCAACAAATATGAGTCAAAAATAAGGGCTCTTAACGTAGGTCGTTAATATACATCAGCAACATCTGGAAAATTCTACACAGCTCACTTCAGGTGAAAGCAAGAGGCTTGGAGACTGTAAAATACCTCTAATGAAAAGCAAGAACGAGGAGCACTCCAAAACTTAATAGTGTAAGGTAAGGTGACTAAGACTCTTCAACACTCTCCCTTTATGTATTAGGGGAATTACCAACAAACCTCTAGCTGTATGCATGAGGCAACTTGCATATAGTGCAGGATCAACCAGGTTGTGGCTTAACAGCCTGCTCGACAGGACCTTGAGATTGCTCGATTGGAAAATTATTAAAAATCCTCACTTAATTTTAGGAACACAACGGGGAATTACCAGCAGAAACCTGGCTGTCTTCCAGGAAGAATTGTGCAAGTTTCTCAAGTGCCTGATCAGCAGGGTTGTGGTGCTTACGTTGGATTCGTGCGGCTAGCACCAACAGTCTAGTTGATCAGGTAATCCACAAGGCCACTTGGTCTGGGACCGTGCTGCAGGAGTGCTGACTCAGAACACCCCAGGCAGACAATAATACAGAACAAAAAACTTTCTGGTGTCTGGATGTCTGGAATTTTAGTAACAATCGCTACAGGTTTTCTCAAGTGTCAATACAAGTTTTTTTCCTTTCCGGTCATTACATATGTAGTATATCTGACTGGTTTTGAAGACTTCTGCCTTCATAGCCGTGCCTTAGGGCAGACTTGTTGTCAGTGGCCCTCAAAGCCACCATAACTCAGCTGATCAGGGTTCAGTTGACAAACAGAAATTCTACGATAACTGTTGTTAATTGTAAACAAATTGGCAGCTGCTTCAATATTTAACGCTGTTTAATTATAAGAGGTAATTTTATTTCTGCAGTCTTAGTCGATAACCCACATTCACATATATACATCAGCATATGCATACATTCCTGCACGTGTATATTACTTATCTGGTAAACCGTATGGTCATAAATAAAAGATGCATCCTCAGCCAAAAAAGAGAGGAAAGGAAAAAGTAATATAAGAGCGGAGGAAGGGATGAAAGGGTAGGGAACGAATGATAAAAATAGACAAAGGGGAAAGGAGAGAATGGAAGCTGTAACAGTCATTACGCAACCGTTGGCGTACTGGTGCTGGGTATGCTTCAAGACGATTTCGGGGTAACCGGTTCCCAAGTTCGGATCCTATACCAGGCTTCCTGGTTGATCAGAAACTGATCTGAACCAGTAGTTTCGTACTGAAGACTGCTAGGGGCGTGTATGAAGGGAGGGTGTTGAAGTCTCCAACACCTTACACCAAGTTATTTCTTAGTGTACTCACTGCTCCCATGCTTTTAACTTGAAAGATATTTTTCACTATCGGTCGAGCCACTTGCTTTCGAAGGAAGTGATTTCTGTGAGGAGAATTGGGATTAATCTCTGCATCTTTCTTCCCTTCATTCCAAGGAGTACAGTTTGAGGGACTTCAAATATTCCCCATAATTTATGTGCTTGACTGAATATATTTAAGTAGTGAAGGTTCTCTGTACATTCTCCAGGTCTGTAATTTCGCCTGCCTTAAAATTATTATTATAAGGGGGGGGTGAGGTATTCAGGCTTAATTTAAGGAACTGGAGCACAGATCCAATTCCCTCGATCAAGAGCCTCTCACCAGCATCAAAGAACCTCCCTTGAGGGGTCGCCTGCCTTAAAAGGAACTGTTAGTGTACAGCAATATTCCGGTCTAGATATAATAAGTGACTTTGAGAATCATCATTGGCTTAGCATCTCTTTAATCTTCTAGTTATCTAATCTATCATTTTCCTTGTGGATGCGATATCACTTACGATCTTTGAATGCAAAGTCTTTAGACATTATCACTCTTAAACCCTTCACATTAAACTTTATCGTTTTCAATTTGTTATATGTGTACTCATTTCCAGTTTTTATTTCCTCAAATTTTCATAGCAAGGTATCCGAAATTTGTCCTTAGTGAATGTCATATTGTTTTCTGTGGCCCACTGGAAGACCTAGTTAATATCAGTTAGAAGATTTGCAGTGTCCTCAATGAATGTCACTCATGCAAATTCTACTACTGTCTCAAAAAGATGATACGGTACTATGATTTATATCTTTATCTATGTCGGATATGAGAATGAGAGCGATCTGGGGCGAATATCGCGTCTTCTGGAACAAAGCTTCGCAAAGCAGCAAACTCAGTTTTTGTTTACTATCACTCTTTGGGTTCTATTTATTACAAAGTTAATTATTCATCTGCCCATTTATCTGGTCGAATGCTTCGCAAAGTCGGTGTACACTACACATACATTCTGCATGTCTTCCCGTGCAACCAAGATCATGTCATAACGGTCCAGCAATTGTCATGAGCGACTCGCTTCAAACCCATAATGGCCGGAGTTGTGTAACTATTATAATTTCAAGTGTTTAGGAACCTTGTTTCTTGAAACTTTGACATTTTAATAATGTTGGACATCAGTGCTAATGATCGAAAGTTTTAAAAAAATAAATACCGATTCTTCTATTTCATAATACTACTACTACTACTACTACTAACTACTACTACTACTAATAATAATAATGCTATATACATATTTACTCGAATGTTTATTCATTTGTCCTGCAGTCCTTAATGAACGTGACGCGCAACAAACTGACCACAAACTACGTAAACGGAAAAGCAAATTCTTACATGTTCTTACTAATATATTACAGTTAGTTTGTATATGTCCCGGCTGAGGAACAGCAAGCTGACAGTATGTGTATGTTAACCAGTCAAGACGATATTGGGCAATTTACATGAAGCAAAAAGACCAGTATTTCCAGAGTAAATGTGAAACTTCACTTTCCCGTGTACACTTGACGGCCATTCACTACCCACTATTACTTCTTGTTAGTAATGTTACTTTTGATATTATCGCAGAAAGTACCACTGCTGAAAGTACATTGTTGAGTTTCAAAGAACACCTGTTTGCAAGCCTGATATTACCTAAGATAGTGACGTCTGATTCAAAAACTAAACAACGCTCTAAATCCTCCAGCATAACTACTAGACAAGATACTGTCTGATTGCAATCGGCTCTAAGTGTAATGATTATTGAGATGAACTTCAGTGGATACCAAGACCCCCAGGAGGGAACATGACAAGTTCCTAATTAAGCAATAACATGTTCAACAGATACGTAAGTGGAAATGAGGCTTGTAAGTGGCAAGTAGAAAAGACGTTCTTTAGGATATCGTCTGGAAATGAATCAGATAAAAAAATTAAAGTTAAGCCGTAAAATATGCCTACGGATGACTCATTTTAGCAAAATTACATTTAACACTGGGTTCCTTTATATGTAATTAACATGGGGTATTTATTTACTATATAACAGAGTTGCTACCTACTATTTATTATACTTATACTATTAACATGGAGTTCGTATCTACCATAATTAACGCGGGGTTACTGCCAATTCTGCTAATAAAATGGATTTACTGATCACCTACGTACTGCTGTGTTCTGAGAAAACATTAAAATTATATCTGAAGCAAAAACAAACACTGGTAGTACTTACCTGGAATCCTTTTCTTCGGTGTTATTCCAAAAGTCTTGGTTGTTTCCCTGGGTTTCTGATTCACCATACGATTTCAACTTTTTTCGTATTCCTCCTTCACTCAAAATGTTATTTACACCCACATTCCATTCACAATCATCGTTTTGTTTCACGGCCTCGCCACCAGCAAACACACAATTTTCACTCTTTGTGCCACCTGGTCTTTGAAATGATTCATTTTCGTTGTCAGTGTTCTTTCCCTCTACATCACACTCTTCGTTCTTATGAAGTTCCGACGTGTTTTTGTTTTGTTGTTCCACCTTGTCTTTGTGTCTTTTATTTTTTCTGTTCCTTCTCCTCTTGTTTTGTGCTTCCTCAGTGTTATCCTTTACATCTTCGTTATTCTTGCTCCCTTCACTCCCAGGTGTCTGAGACTGGCGCCCTCTAGACAAAGACTGGCTACTACTACGGCTGCGGTTGTTCCTAAGACGACCTTGACGTGACTGCTGTTGCTGCTGTGGTCGCCACTCTGAGAAGTGTTCCTCACTCTGTTGCCACTCTGGCCTTTGTGGCTGCGGAGTAGATCGCTGTCGTTGCTGCAACACTGTCTGTTGTTGTTGTTGAGGTCTCTGTTGTTGCTGATGCTTGACCTCTGTTTGTTTTTGTTGCTGCCTCTCTTCTATTAGTTCATGCCCTTGTTGTATCTGCTCATTTACCCCTTGTCTCTGTTGTGGCCGTCTCTCCCCTTTATTGTTATGTATGCCGCTTTTCTCTCCTGTTTTTGGTAGTTTATGTTCTTGCTGCTGCTGCTTGGTCTGGTGTTGCTGTTTGCCACGCTCCTGCTGCAGCTGCCAATGTTGGTGGGGGTGTTGCTGTGGTTGCTGTTGATGTGTTTGCTGTTGGTGCTGGTGTTGTTGTTGTTGTTGTTGCTGTTGTTGTTGTTGCTGCTGCTGTTGGTGTTGTTGTTGCTGTTGGTGTTGTTGTTGATGTTGGTGTTGTTGTTGATGTTGGTGTTGTTGTTGTTGTTGGTGTTGCTGTTGGTGTTGTTGCTGTTGTTGTTGATGTTGATATTGCTGCAGTTTTTCCTGAGGTTGGTGTTGCTTGTGTTGCTCTTGCTGGTGTTGGCGAGGCGTGATGGCTGACTTGGGTTGTGGTGTAAGGGTCGTGGCTCCCTGGTTGTTCCTGAAGGTAACAGCGGTGCGTCGCTGGTCGCCCTGACCTACGCTGATGGTGGCCAGGTCGGGAAATCTCTCCTCCACGGTTTTGTGAATCAGGAACCGCCGCCGGGGATTCACCGCCGGGAAGAGCAGCGCTCTGCAACAACACAAACACATTGTTATTAAGAAATTATGTGTACATTATATTCATAAAGTGCTCAACCGTTAAGGGTCATACAGAGCCTATGGAATGACACGCAATCTCGTGTTTCTTTTTTTCTTTAAACACGCCGGCCGTCTTCCATTATGATATGGTGACTCCAAAAAGGCATCACCATCATTCTGCGCATCTCTGGCAAGAGTTGCGCAGAAATCTCAATTTAAATAACCCTCTGAACTGCAGCATCACTCCTTTAGAGTGCAGGTACTGTATTTCCCACTTCCAGGAATCAAGTCTGGCTAACCGGTGTTCCCCTGAATCTCTCCATGATTGTTACGCTGCTCACACTCAAACACTTCAGACCATAAAAACCACTTGCCTCCATTCATTTCGATCTAATACACTTACACAACAAGCCTTGTGGATGCTCAAGCTTCTAACACAATAAACTACTACATCCATACACAATCGAAGCCAATTTTACAATTTCCTCCTTTGCCTTATCATCTTTGATCCATGGAAAAAGCTTAGGCATCACCAATTCCCGAAATCATGAGAAGTTACGGCACAAACAGGCGGATCATCTAACCAATAAAATAATGTTTGCCTGCTGCAGTGTTCCTCCATTCTAATGTTTTTACTACCTCGGTGGACTGGTGTCAATGGGACATCTTGATATGTTTACCCATGCATCTTGTGAAATTCTCGCTCCAGGAGCATATTAGTATAGCTACATAGGTGTTTTATAAGAGGCTATAGTATAAGTATTAGTATATTTATGAATAAACATACAATATCAAAATATACTGTAATTACTGGTATACTAATGAATACACACAAACCATGCTGAATACCGTAGTGAATGACAGATGTGGGGGGGGGGGAAATAGAGGCGGTAGTAAATAGGTGTATGGAGTGGTGGAGACAGCAATAAACAGGTGTGTGGCGTAGTGGAGGTAGTAATAGGTGTGGAGTGGTGGAAGCACGAGTAAACAGGTGTATGTAGTGGAGGCAGCAGTAAACAGGTGTATGTAGTAGTGGAGATAACAGTAAACAGGTGTGTGGAGTAGTGGAGGCAGCAATAAACAGATGTGTGGAGTAGTGGAGGCAGGAGTAAACATGTGTACAGGGTCTACAAGTTTAAGTACTTGCCTTTAAAAAAAATGAATCTGTATAAAGGACTTGTCAGAAACAACAAATGATACCAACGTGTTAGCAGATGTAAAAAAAAAAAAAAGTTTTGCAATGAGTCTACCATTGTTTAGTTTTTGTCTACTTAGCACATGAGGGCCTTTAGTTGCCTCAGTGGCTCACCACACATTCTGTATTAATGTTTACATCGGTGGTTCACCGCACATTGTATATTCATTGTTAACACTTAAGTTACCGAAGTACATACCTATATCTCGGTTATTTGCTGAAATAACTCGCATTATAAAGAAAATAATAGCGAATATATATATATATATATATATATATATATATATATATATATATATATATATATATATATATATATATATATATATATATATATATATATATATATGTCGTGCCGAATATGTAAATCTGGTCAATTAGCAAGAACTCATTTAAAATTAAGTCCTTTCTAAAATTTTCTCTTATACGTTTAAAAATATATTTTTTTCATTAATGCTGTACAAATTTATAATTTTGCACCCAAAGGAACTTAGAAAACTTACTTAACCTTATTATAGCAAGAACAATTTATTTTAGCCTAACCCAACTAAATATATTTTAGATTTGTTTACAGTAATTTAATACTAAACAAACACCTAGAGGTTATTCCGGGTATCAACGCCCCCGCGGCCCGGTCCACGACCAGGCCTCCCGATGGATCAGGGCCTGATCAACTAGGCTGTTACTGCTGGCCGCACGCAGTCCAACGTACGAGCCACAGCCCGGCTGATCCGGCACTGACTTTAGGTATCTGTCCAGCTCTCTCTTGAAGGCAGCCAGGGGTTTATTGGCAATTCCCCTAATGCTTGATGGGAGGCTGTTGAACAGTTTTGGGCCCCGGACACTTATGGTGTTTTCCCTTAGTGTACCAATGGCGCCCCTACTTTTTATTGGGGGCATTTTGCATCGCCTGCCCAGTCTTTTACTTTCGTAGGGAGTGATTTCTGTGTGCAGATTTGGGACCATTCCTTCCAAGATTTTCCAAGTGTAGATTATGATATATCTCTCCCTCCTGCGTTCCAACGAGTACAAGCCAAGTGCTTCCAAGCGTTCCCAGTAGTTAAGGTGCTTGACAGAACTTATACGTGCAGTAAAGGATCTCTGTACACTCTCTATATCTGCGATTTCACCTGCTTTGAATGGAGATGTTAATGTACAGCAGTATTCCAGCCTAGAGAGAACAAGTGATTTGAAAAGGATCATCATGGGCTTGGCATCTCTCGTTTTGAAAGTTCTCATTATCCATCCTATCATTTTCTTTGCACGTGCGATCGTGGCACTGTTGTGATCCTTGAAAGTGAGATCCTCAGACATTACTACTCCCAGGTCCCTTACATTATTTTTCCGCTCTATTGTATGGCCGGAGTCAGTAGTATACTCTGTTCTAGTTATTATCTCCTCCAGTTTTCCATAACGGAGTAGTTGGAATTTGTCCTCATTGAACATCATATTGTTTACCGTTGCCCACTGGAAAACTTTGTTTATATCTTCTTGGAGGTTAACCGCGTCCTCAGCAGATGACAGCCTCATGCAGATCCTAGTATCATCCGCAAAGGATGATACGGTGCTGTGGTGTACATCTCTGTTTATGTCTGATATGAGGATAAGGAATACCATCTAAAAGGGACCAGGAGGCACACACCCCACAAGACAAACAATAGTAGCTACGACAACCCAACTCCAGGTGATTTTTTTTAGTAGCAGGAAACGAAAAAAGAAAATGGAAGGAAATAACAAAAGTAGTCCACCACCTTGGAGCCTTGTTGGACTGGAGGCGCAGCCAGTGGCCACCCATGGCCCTCCAGAATTACAACTACTGATGCCGATAACAAAATCCCCCCAACAAACACAGAATACAACCTCGTTCATATTTGCTAATATACAGGGCCTTAAGCCATCCACCACCAACAAAATACCTTTTATCAGTGGACTTCTAGTGGAGTCTAATGCAATGTTTGCAGCCTTCACAGAGACTCACACAAAAGATCACTTTGACAGTGAAATATGGATAAGTGGTTACAACCTTTTTAGATGCGACAGAAAAAACAGGCAACAAGGGGGGGTTGGCCTGTATGTCAAAGAGTCCCTTATCTGCATGGAGTTGCTGAACACCACAAATGAGGTAGTTGAAGTTCTATCAATAAAGATCGAGAACCAAAACCTAGTCATTGTGGTTGTATACAAGCCACCAGATGCAACCTCACAACAGTTCAAGGAACAGCTACTGAAAATCGATTACTGTTTGGAAAACCTTCCAGCTCCATCCCCAAACATCTTACTGCTTGGTGATTTCAACCTAAGGCAAACAAAATGGAAGAATGTAGCAAATGTTATACCTGAAACAATCCCCGGAGGTAGCGCAGATGAAAGGTCACACACACATGAGCTACTAAGTCTCTGCGAAAAACACACCTTAAGCCAGCAGATAGTGGAGCCAACAAGACTAGAAAACACACTTGACCTTATCTTCACAAATAATGAGGACCTGATAAGAGACATAAGAATATCAAAAACAACTAATTCCGATCACAATCTAATCGAAGTCCAGACGTACATGCATAGGGGTCCTGAACAGCAGAATGCATGTACCTGTGAAGGTGTCTTCACAAAATACAATTTCAACAAGAACATCAACTGGGACCAGGTAAACCATGTCCTAAACGAAACATGTTGGGAAGATGTCTTAAATGACATGGATCCAAACCAGTGCCTTGAAAGGATCAACTTCCTGGTAGCCGAAGCATGTTCTAGGCATATTCCCCTAAGAAAGAAGAAGAGCAGGAGTAAACTGGAGAGAAAAAGACGCTCCCTCGACAGAAGACGACGAAGAGTCACTGAGCTCCTCAGGAGTGCTAGAATATCTGATACACGAAAGGAGGCGCTGACCAGGGAAGTGGAAACTATCGAACTTAAGCTAAATGATCAGAATGAATTTGGCGAAATTATTGCATACACAAATTTTCACTTGTCCTATATGGCAAGATGAGCGTTGCTATTTAAGCCAAGATCGGAAGTTCTGCCTATTCGGCACGACATACATATATTGATATGGTTTAACCAGTTCCTCTCCCTCCTAATTTTCTTTCATTGGTAAATATTGACGTTTCTAACATTATTTAGATACCAATAAAAGAGATCCAAAAAGTGATCCTCGTGGTGGCCAGCACCTTACATTCAAGATGCTTGAAAGTTATCCATGTATACTTCCAGGGATCACTGCACCCCCTCCCCCCCTCTCTCAAGGACCAGTTTCTGACCAGACTGGGTTACCAATATAATCAGCCATGTTGTTGGGGCGTACAACAAGCAGTCTCACCACAATAAATTCTGTTTCACCCAGTGGAAACTAACAAATTATATAACATAAATACTGACGACGATACACCACGAGTACAACTTAGCTCCTGTAACTACACAAATGGATATATCAGTAACATACGCAAACACGCATGCCCAACAACTACTTACGAGGGAGACACTGTGTTGAGATGATGGTAGAGGTACTGCTGGAACATGTTGAATAAATAAATGACTGCTCTCTCACAAGTAGCTGTAGCAACCACAACCGCTTCTGGTGCTGTTTAACTACCTCACCTCGGGCACTTAGGCCCGAAGACTTCAAGGTTCCATCATGGCTGTCGACTCTATTATCCTCACCAACTACTCAGCATTGGCTTCTCTAGAGGATAGAAGATATTTTTTTTTCCTCTGACAAGGTGTAGCGTCAGGACGAGTGAAGGATGACACTGGTGGTTTTGAAACTTGTGGTATCAGCGGTGGGGGGTAGCGGTGGTAGCTATGGAGAGGGCAGGGGTTGTGATGGCAGCAGAGGTAGTAAGAGTGGTGAGGCAGGTGCCTGCTAGCGGGATACCCGTGAGGCACATCTAAAATTTGGTACTTTACACCACACAGCAGCTTTGACTTCCCTTCATAACGTGGGTTAATTATATGTTTTTCTAACAATATACAACATTTATTGCAGTTTTTAGATTATATATCCTGTGATTCAAACATTTAACAACTTATGTAGTGCGACAAATAATAATTAAAGA